CATTCCGTATACTCTGTTTAATTGTTAAATAATAATTACTTGATAAATAATCAAAGAGTCAGTCACAATTGAACGTGAAGCTTAGAACATTGAAATGATGCTAATTTGCTACTGATTTATATTACAAATCATTGGTACATTTGTATCATTGTACATCGTTTACTCCTGCCTGTTTGTAAATAAAACATGAATTTTTAGAAACTCTGTTACTATCTGAATCGTGTTTTTACGTATTGTGGGATTCCATAGTGCACTGAAACACTTTCTTTTACAAATGGTCTTGTTACAAATAGAATAACTGTAGATAGAAAGGTAAAATATAATAGAATGGAAAATAAAGAAATAGATGAAAATTAGATAGATAGAACAATAGATGAAAACATGTTTTACAGAAGATTTCTCGTTGTACTCGTGCAATCTATAAATAAAAGAGAATTATTTTTATATAGTAAAAATTGAAGAATTAGTACTAATGAAATATTTTAAAAATAATAATGATTGAAATTTAGGAGTAACAATTACGTGGATTCTAGATAAAGTGATGAAGAAAAGGAATGGAAGTTGATCACGATTCGCAACAAAGAGGCTATCGTATGTAAAATTAAATTTTAAATGTAAATTGGGATTTCTTATACCTATGTAAGATTACGATTTCAAAATAATCTATTCTGAAAATTTATCTGAAATATGGATTTGTCTTTTCATGAATAGAGACGTTAGCCAATTTTGTATGAGTAGTACACGATCTCCAATATTTAAATCTGATTTTATTAAAACGAAGTCTTACATAAGATGATTTCATTTATAACTTTTGCTTACTTCTTTTTGCTCCATGCATTAGATACGTAGGAAATAAATAAATAGTCGATCATCGATTATATCTGCAATATTATTCTTATACAATTTACATGAATAGATTAAAATGATATCGACTACAAATAGTTTTAATTTTAAAAGATTTAATCTTGATCATGCGATAAACACGATTGAAACAATCTTATATTTTGTAATTACAGCAGAGGCAATAGTAATCTTATGTATCTACACGGTCATTTATTGCCTACCTATATCTAATGTATCTGGAACATAATTAACCCCTTATCTGATATCCGGTAGCAGTGAAGAATTTAAATTGAATTTAATAAATATGACTGCTATTCAGGGCAATTTGGTTGGAGGGAAATGCTGTGCCTTAATGTCTATTTATAAATTTTATCTGTTAGTTAATTTACAAATATGTAAGTACATACATATAATGCACATTTAAACTTTCCACTCATCTATTTACAACTTTAAAATATACTCCTAGTTTGTTCAACGAGACGAATCAGTGAAAACTCAAAAGACATTATTATTGGCATTACTGTTAATTAGCCGAAGAACATGAATTCAATTAAGTAGTGGTCGCGTTTTTCTGTTTATAGCTTTACGATTTTCATTGGCGTAAATCAAGAGACAGGTGTATTTGCTAGTACTTTTTTGTACAGATTTGCTAGTAGAGATCGTTGCAAGACTAACATTTCAAAATAAGATTTCTAATTTCTTCCTTGTTTCAACGTCAAAGATATGCAGCAATTAGCTTAAGATTTTCTTCCCTTTCACTAGAAATAAGTATTAATACGTTAAGTGGCATACCAGTCACTGAAAATTGTATAATAACGTATCGAAGTTAATAATAGTGCAATACAAGGATTGTAACGCCAAATAATTCATAATTGTGCCTGCTTTTCTTTGCTACAAAAGAATAACTACAGAAAAACGATCAAGATTTTCGTGGCACTTAATGTGTTAAAAAAGTAAAAAATTTCCGGCCACGAACGTGTTGATTCGTCGGGTGAAAATAATTATGCCAAATAGCAACAAATACACGGTATTATTATCAGAGCGAGAAGCAACAACGGAGGATCGATCGCATCTTAAGTTTCGTTGTATGATAGACGAAGATCGTCCTCGCGGAGAATCCGATGGTTCGGGTTGGTTCTGTTAAATCCCCCGCAAATAGGGTGTAATGCCTACAGGGAAGAAAGGGGTTTCGTTCGGGGGAACGACGAAAAAAAGAGGAGAAAGTATACTTAAATCGGCCGATCGACAGTTCCGGTTGATTCTCCGGTTGGGCAAAGGAGAAAGAAAGCGTAGGAAAATGGGGTAAGGTCTTAAGGGTTGCTTTCAGGCCTCGGTACCGAATTCTGGGGGTTGACGCGCAGTGCAGAGGCCTTCGGGTAGTCAAGGGATTACAAACCCGCGAGCCCGAAAGTAAAAAGGGAGTTTTTGTTTGAGAGCCTTTTAATTTTTAAGCCTGGCTAGACTAGTAATGAATTCGACGACGTCCTCGTGACGTCAGGACGCCTTTATCGATCGCGTCCTCAGACATGCTGCTGGAGGATGCGCTTTGGCATTACCAGAGGATTAAGTGTTCTGTCTTATTCTTTCGTAAATAAAGAAAAATCACGGCCAGTGATCACCGCGAACCTCGCCCCCCCCCTCAGATCGCGAGGTTTATTCGCTTGTCGGCCCTATCCACCGAACCGGAGAGTTTCATGCTCAAGGATTCCTTTAGATGTTAGACAGCGTCAGAATTGGACAAAATGTAATTTGGTTATATCGACGATAATTCAAATATAATAGTTGATTTCATTAGAAATTGTTTTCTATAATTGGAATGTAATATTTGTGAATTTTCTGGTGAAATATTGTTGAGTTTTGTAAAGTAAAACTTTAGTCTCACTTTTAATATAAACATTGATAACGTTGGTATGCAAATTTGTGAAAATTCTTGAGTGTTCTATAAATGTTCTCTTATTCCTTCAAATTGCAGAATATCCGTATATTCATTAAATTAAAATGCACTTCAGTAAAATAGTCGATGTTTGTCAATTAAAGATATCAATTGAAGATTCTCTTATTTGTTAGATAGCACCAGACTTGGGAAAAATGTAATCTGATTACATATTATCTACGGTAATTCAAATATCATAATTGATTCATTGATAAATTGCTTCCCATAATCATGAATTATTATTAATCTTCAATTGTAATTGTATTCATTACAGTGAGTTCTACAAATAAGAATTTGAAATCAAATCAGATGTTGCGTTTTAAACATAAATCTCACGATTAGTATGTTGTCTGATTATATTTTGCTCAACTCTGGATATCATAAATCCTATCAGCTGTTGATTACAAAAATGACCCTTGTAATTAAAAATTATTAGCACGGAAATTGGTCTTACACATTTGGGAAATTTAATTTTGAAGACAGAATTTTTAAATTAAATCTTCGTTTGTGCGTTCTACGGGTGTTCTTGTATCCAAAATTAGGGATACCTGAGATTACGGCTACTAATTTTTATCGCGAAAAACATCACGATAAATGAAAATATTCTACTATTCGAGAACAAAATCGAAATATGACGGTAAGAACGTGCAAAGTGTTAATCTTTGTAAGACAAGTGAAACGTACTATTTTTTGTAAAGTATTTGATTTGTTCCATCAGACTCTTTCTACACGTAAACTGTCAAAGAAAGAGAACAGATTTTGTTTTCAATTCGAACAATAAAATAATTGTACAGAATAAAAGATAAACTTCAATTTCAATTCTTTTTTAATGAATTGGCTCAGTATTTAAAAATAAAATGCCATATTAATTTGTTCTATTTATTTAGTTTTATTGAATTCAATAACATTTAATTGAAACGTTTCTCATTCTCTATTATTAAGAAAAGTACACTAGCTTGAAAATATTTTTGAATACACAAAATAATGTCTTTGGACTGTTAAACATGAATCAAACCCTTCATAAACGTTATTTTGCAATGAATATTACTTTATGATTTGTGTATATACACACTATTATTAATATTTTTTCAAATATCATATCTAATATGTTTATGTATTACATATTAGCAGATACTGTGTATCAATATTTGAAATCATATTCCTTTACATATTATGTGGAATATTTTTTTCATTTATCTTTCTATTCGTACGCATATAGCTAAAAAAGTACGTTCGTACAGATATGTAACATCTCTCAAACGTACAATTTTATTAAATTGTCCATCATAATTATACAAAAAATGAATATTTTTCAAATTTATTCTCTCGGTTGTCGATCAAAAATATATACAGGACATAAATAGTTAATAACCATGTTCCATTTAACCCTTTGGCGTATTATTTACTTCCGCTACTAAGCTCATATAACATTTTACTATCGACTAATGGGTAAAAATGCAAAAGAATTTTCCATTCCACTCTAAGTGTAAATTTATTTTATAGATCATAAATTGGTAATAGCGAAATAGTTTTTGCTTTGATCCTTGGACAATAAACAACATTGATTTTTATTAAATTACTCTAGAAATTGTCATTCGTCTTTGTATGGTAAGGGGTCAATTAAAAAGCGAAATAAGTTAATATTTACAGTCCTTCTGAAGGAAAAAATTGTAATATTTTATCTCGTCTATCCTATACATCTTGTAGATTTTCGATTTCGTTTTCAATGAAAAATAATGTCTATGATAATCATAGTGTAGAAACATTGGCTGTTAAAAAACTATATAAGACTGTTAACCTCCTGCTTGACTACGTAAGCAACCTCTCTGCTGTGCTCAGAGCATATATCAAAATCAGGAATTAAAAACAATTATGATATTGGTTGCGGTTGATGAAACGGTTATAAAAACTGACAAGTATCTATAACTGTTATCCATGTTAACTCAGTTTTATATCAGTTCTGTAATAGTTCCATAAGTATTATTTTATGGTTTTATTGATTTTATGCAACGTACCTGTTATTTTCGATTTTGTATAATTCATTACAATGTAGAAGTGAACTACAGTTAATACAGAATTAAAAATAGTAATTATGAAATCGTTACAAGAC